GTGATGCCAGAACCACAAGCAACCACCAACAGTGACGCCAGAACCACAAGTAACCACCAACAGTGACGCCAGAACCACAGCCAACCACCAACAGTGAAGCCAGAACCACAAGTAACCACCAACAGTGACGCCAGAACCACAAGTAACCACCAACAGTGACGCCAGAACCACAAGTAACCACCAACAATGACGCCAGAACCACAAGTAACCACCAACAGTGACGCCAGAACCATAAGTATCCACCAACAGTGACGCCAGAACCACAAGTATCCACCAACAGTGGCGCCAGAACCACAAGTAACCACCAACAGTGACGCCAGAACCACAAGTAACTACCAAAAGTGACGCCAGAACCACAAGTAACCACCAACAGTGACGCCAGAACCACAAGTATCCACCAACAGTGATGCCAGAACCACAAGTAACCACCAGCAGTGACCCCAGAACCACAAGTAACCACCAACTGTGATGCCAGAACCACAAGTAACCACCAACAGTGACGCCAGAACCACAAGTAACCACCAACAGTGACGCCAGAACCACAAGTATCCACCAACAGTGACGCCAGAACCACAAGTATCCACCAACAGTGACGCCAGAACCACAAGTAACTACCAAAAGTGACGCCAGAACCATAAGTATCCACCAACAGTGACGACAGAACCACAAGTATCCACCAACAGTGACGCCAGAACCACAAGTAACTACCAAAAGTGACGCCAGAACCATAAGTATCCACCAACAGTGACGCCAGAACCACAAGTATCCACCAACAGTGACGCCAGAACCACAAGTATCCACCAACAGTGACGCCAGAACCACAAGTAACTACCAAAAGTGACGCCAGAACCATAAGTATCCACCAACAGTGACGACAGAACCACAAGTAACCACCAACAGTGATGCCAGAACCACAAGTATCCACCAACAGTGACGCCAGAACCACAAGTATCCACCAACAGTGACGACAGAACCACAAGTATCCACCAACAGTGATGCCAGAACCACAAGTAACCACCAGCAGTGACCCCAGAACCACAAGTAACCACCAACTGTGATGCCAGAACCACAAGTAACCACCAACAGTGACGCCAGAACCACAAGTAACCACCAACAGTGACGCCAGAACCACAAGTATCCACCAACAGTGACGCCAGAACCACAAGTATCCACCAACAGTGACGACAGAACCACAAGTATCCACCAACAGTTATGCAACCACAGTACCACAGGACCAGAACAAAGTAACCACCACAGTTGATGCCAGAACCACAAGTAACACCACAACAGTTCTATGAGACAGAACATCAACACCTGGCTTATTGATGCAACCAATGCAACCCTTACATGAGTAAAAGACAGTACACTTGTATCTTTATTGATGAACAAGACACATGTGCAACACCTGGGTATCTTTATTGATGAACAAGACACATGTGCAACACCTGGGTATCTTTATTGATGAACAAGACACATGTGCAACACTTGGGTATCTTTATTGATGAACAAGACACATGTGCAACACCTGGGTATCTTTATTGATGAACAAGACACATGTGCAACACCTGGGTATCTTTATTGATGAACAAGACACATGTGCAACACCTTGGGTATCTTTATTGATGAACAAGACACATGTGCAACACTTGGGTATCTTTATTGATGAACAAAACACATGTGCAACACCTGGGTATCTTTATTGATGAACAAGACACATGTGCAACACCTGGGTATCTTTATTGATGAACAAGACACATGTGCAACACTTGGGTATCTTTATTGATGAACAAAACACATGTACCCTGGTATCTTTATTGATGACAAGACACATGGCAACTCTGGTATCTTATTGATGAACAAGACACATGTGCAACACCTGGGTATCTTTATTGATGAACAAGACACATGTGCAACACTTGGGTATCTTTATTGATGAACAAAACACATGTGCAACACCTGGGTATCTTTATTGATGAACAAGACACATGTGCAACATCTGGGTACCTTTACTGACAAAGATGTTTCGCTAGCCAGTGGCTGGTTGCCTGCCGAAGCATCTTAATCATAAAGATACCCAAGTGTTGTGCATGGGTAGATGAGAGAAGGATAGATGAGAAGGTAGATGAGAAGGTAGATGAGAAGAGTAGATGAGAGAAGGGTATATGAGAGAAGGATGAGAGAATGGTAGGCGAGAGAGATATACTTACCATGGTGTAGTTTTCGATCCTCCGGACCCAGAAGCGGCTCTTCTTCCTTCGAAATTTTCTTAACTTTGACTTTCGCCTTCGAGTGTTCACTTGTTCCGGCATCCTTTACAGCCTCAGTCTTCTTTCTCTGGCTTCTGGTCTTTTTGCCGGACCGCGCCGGTCTTTTTTCAGTCTCTAGGGGTACCTTGCCCAGGGACCCGTTGGCCTTAATGTGGTCAAGGTGCGTTTCCTCAGACGAGGTTTCCTCTCTGCCCGATGACTTTAACTCCGGTGACGATGGCTGAGGTTTCACCGAATCGGTGACTAATATTTCGTAGGAGGTTTCCGGGTTGGCTATGTGTATGGCTTGCTCAAGGTTGTAGTTGTGAGGCATAACGGAGGAGGAGGAGGGAGAGGCTTCCAGCATCAGAGGGCCGCTCGTGTCATCTAGGGAGGTATGTGTTGTGTTGTCATGGATGCTCATCTCTGCTCTGTCCTCCTCCTCCTCATCCTCCCCACTACCCACCCTTATGTTCAACTTTCTTATTTTGGAGAGAATTGTTGCCTCTCTCTCATGTTTTCTAGCATCGTCTTCAGTGATAGCTGGAGATTCTGTGCTGGGGCGCCGTTGCCCGGATTCCTCCAGGGTGATCCGGGCTTGGTGCGGGTTTAAAGCTCTTTGAAAAAATAGTTTTCCAGCTGCAGTGTTGAGTTCCGTAACATCATATTGAGCTGCTGTGTTGGCCTTGTAAGCTCGTGGTGCATCAACAGAGCAGTTGTCTAAAGAGGCCTCGTGGGGATGTGGGATAGAAGTCTTCTTAGATGGATACTCAGAGGCATCAAGTTCCTTAGGGAATATTTTATCATCTTTGTTCCTCTCTGTGATATCAGCAGAGTGAGCCATGCCATCAGGCACATCAAGTGGCTCAGTGATCGAAACTCCAGTAGGGCAGTCTTCAGTAGAAATTTTTCCTATATATTTCTTCCCTTCCTTCGAAGTACCATCTTCACAAAACTGACTTGAAGTTTCTGGAGAGCAAGACCTGGCTACATCCCTGGACGATTCGAAGCCTAATTTGTCTTCGCTGAAGGAGGCAGTGTCACCACGCTGTGGACTTTCATGGTCATCCATATTGGATCTTCTGGTTGAGGAGTTGAATTTCTGGGAAACCAAGGGGCAAAAGAAGAGTCTAGGTCTTCAACACCATTATCTTCCTCCTCCTCCTCCTCCTCCTCCTCCTCTTCCACCTCATCCCTCTCCTCCTCCTCTTTCTTATGCTTCTCCTCCTTTTCTTTCATGTTCCCCCCTTTTTTCCTTCTCTGACTTCACAGTGTGGGTTTCCCAAGTCTGAGTCACACCATTCATAGCTTCAAACTGTAATCTGTTAACTGGATGCTGCTCAGAATATTTCTCTGAGACTTTCTCTTTCAGTTCAGGCAAAATGTGGGGCGTCCACGGACCATCGTTCCCATCATCTGCAAAAAGGGGAGGAGGAGCGACGATTGGAAGACAGTCGAAGTCAGTTATGGGAGATCCAGGTGCCTCTTGATGTACCTCGAGATTCCAGGCATCAGTGACATCAAAGTTCCAGACAGCAGCGACGTCCTCTGGTACAGTCCCAGGCACAAGAACAAGGTTTCCCGGGGTTTCATCAGGAAGGTCTTGTATACTCGAGTGTGGCGCCTCCGACTGTGACAACTGCGGCTGCTGCAGTGGAGGAGGTTTAAGCAGATATGCTGGAGGTGGCTCTCGTGGGGGTGGAGGAGGAACTTCCGGGACCTCCATGTTCTCCAACTCCTTCAGGAGTCGTATTGGAGACCCAGCTTGGTGCTGCTGTGATGGAAGCAAATGTGGAAAATGTGTCAGAGAAACATCCAGCAGTTGTGGTTGAAGAGTTTCTTGGAGCTTTGATGGAGAAACTTCATTGAGAGGAATTTGAGAAAATTCTGAAAGTTGCTCTGACGACACTGCTGGTAACTTCACTGCAGAAGACTTATGGAAATGTGTTGGAGAAATTTTTGGAATTTGTGTAGAAGAACGCTTTGAATACCTTGATGGAGATGGCTCCGCATACTCTGCTGATGGACCCTCCAGCTGTGTTGGCGGTGGCTGTCGTGGAGGTGGAGGAGGCACCTCCAACTTCTCCATGTTTTCCAACTCCTTCAACATTTGTGTAGGAGACTGACCTTGAAGCTTTGATGGAGATACCTGTGTTGGAAAAGCTTTAGGGATCATTGTTGTAGAAGTTTTTTTGAGCTGCACTGGCGCTTTCGAAGTCTTTTTTGGAGCTCTGTCAAGCTTTGTTGGGGTTTTTGAAAGCTGTGGACGTTTTTGTTGTATTGAAGGTTTTGGTAGCTTTGTTGGAGGATTTGGGATTTGTGTTGACAAAGGTTTTGCAAGCTGTCTTGGAGAAGCCTTTGGAAGTTTCAATGAGAGATCTTTTTGCAGAGATGATGGAGAGGGTTCTGGGTGTTTTGTTGGGGAACCTTCTGGGCACTGTGTTGGAGGTGGCTGTCGAGGAAGAGGAGGAGGAACCTCTGGTATCTCCATGTTTTCCAATTTTTTCAGAATCTGTATTGGAGACTCGTTTTTCCCACGTGATGGAGAAGTCTTTGGAAGCTTAGCTGGAGAAGTCTTTTGTGGCATTATAGAGGTCTTCCTGTCCAGCTCGTTAAAAAGCTGCAGTGGAGACTGCTGTTGGAGATACAGTTGAATATCTTCCTGGAGCTGTGTCAATGGTGACATTGCTGACTGTGGTGAAGGAGGCTTTTGAGACTGCGATAAATATCGTGGGATCTGACTTCGAAATGATTTCAAAGGTTCTTTTGGAGAAGGCTCTGGAGGCTGTATAGGAAAGTTTCTTGTACTCGTGATGAAGATGCTTCCGTGAGTTGCGCCAAAGACACTTCCGCCCTCGGTGTCGAGGTTGCTTCGCAGAGGTGGTCCAAGTAACGTAACGAAGAGGTTCGTTCTGGCGGCGTTGGAGGAGGGAAACGTGATGGTGGTGGAGGTACATGAGGAACCTCCATCTTCTCCAACTCTTCGAAAATGTGAGACAACCTCGCCTTGACTCTCATTTCGATGATATCATCGTCAAAATAATCAATCTCCTCCTTCTGCTGCTGCTTCATGCGAAGTTTGATGGGCACTTCAGGCACTCTCAATGATGGTATTGAGAAGTCAGCTTCTTTGGGAGCCGGAGAGCTTGATTCTAAGGGTATCAACAGAGATGGCGAGCTAGGCGGCGACTCGAACACTTCCGAATTGGCTGGTGACTCTGATACCGGTGATTCAATCAAAGGCTCTTGTGATTCCGAGAGACTTGGAGATCTAGGTACTGGTGAAGTAGACGTCGGCTCCTCTATTGGTGCCTCAGACAAAGGCACTCCCACAGGCCGTCTGGACGAAGACTCCAGCAAAGGTGATGAAGGTGGCTCTGGTGTGAACTTGGCATCCTGTGCTAAAGGTTGAGTGATGCTCCGAGATGACCCAGGGCTGAGAGGAGACGAGAGACTGCTCTGGGACAATACCGTACTAGCAGCTGAAATTGTGCTGTGAGGAGAAGACATAGTGCTGCGAGGAGAAGACATCGTGCTGTGAGGAGACACAACCATGCTGTTAGAAGAGACTGTGTTGTAAGGATACGACACACCACTGTAAACAGCCGGAGGTGTTATCGGAGGCGGAGGGGGAGGACAGGAAGGTCTGGTAACGCTACCAGTCCTTGATCTGGAGGACACACCTCTCTTCCTTACTGACCTTCCTCCGTGATCTTTCGAGGGTAAGATTTTAACCTTCATTTCTTCCACTGGCGAAATTTCTGACCTCAATTTCTCTGGTGGCATAATTTCCACCTCTGGTTCTTCCACTGGCAAAATGCCCCCACTGGCGTTTTCTAATTTTAAAGCATCTTTCCGTAATTCTTCAGCTGATAAAACTTTCACTTCTGGAAGTACCTTTGGTGCTGGAACTTCCACTTCTGGAAGTACCTTTCTTTCCGAAATTTCCACTTCTGGAAGTACATTTGGTGCTAGAACTTCCACTTCTGGAAGTACCTTTGGTTCTGGAACTTCCACTTCTAGAAGTACCTTTGGTGCTGGAATTTCCATTTCTGGAAGTACCGTTGGTGTTGGAACTTCCGCTTCTGGAAGTGCATTTGGCGTTGGAACTTCTATTTCTGGAATTACCTGTGGTGCTGGAACTTCTATTTCTGGAATTACCTGTGGTGCTGGAACTTCCGTTTCTGGAAGTACCTTTGGTAGCGGAACTTTCACTTCCGGAAGTAGCCTTGGTTCTGGAATTTTCACTTCTGGAACTACCTTTGGTTCTGAAACTTCTACTTCTGCTAGTGTCTTTGGTGTTGGAACTTCTACTTCTGGCAGTACCCTTTGTTCTGGAACTTTCACTTCTGAAACTTTCACTTTTGGCAGCACCTTTGGTTCTGGAACTTTCACTTCTGAAAGTACCTTTGGTGCTGGAACTTCTGCTTCTGGAAGTACCTTTGGTGTTGGAACTCCCACTCCTGGAAATACCTTTGGTGCTGGAATTTCCACTTCTGGAACTTCCACTTCTTTAAGTGCCTTTGGTTTTGTAACTTCCACTTCTGCAAGTACCTTTGGTTCTGGAGCTTCCACTTCCGGAAGTACATTTAATGCTGTGATTTCCACTTCTGGAAGTACCTTTGGTGCTGGAACTTCCACTCCTGAAAGTACCTTTGGTTTTGGAACTTCCACTTCTGTTAGTACCTTTGGTTCCAGACCTTCCACTTCTGGAAGTACCTTTAGTTCTGGAACTTCCAATTCTGGAAGTACCTTTGGTGCTGGAGCCTCCACTTCTGGCAGTACCTTTGGTGCTGGAGCCTCCACTTCTGGCAGTACTTTTGGTGCTGGAGCCTCCACTCCTGGCAGTACCTTTGGTGCTGGAGCCTCCACTTCTGGCAGTACCTTTGGTGCAGGAGCCTCCACTTCTGGTAGTACCTTTGGTGCTGGAGCCTCCACTTCTGGCAGTACCTTTGGTGCTGGAGCCTCCACTTCTGGCAGTACCATTGCTGCTGCATCACTTGTGACTATATTCTTTGCTGTCATCACTTTTCCTTCTTGTTTCTTTGGTGTCAAAGCTAAAATTTTTGGTTCTTTTGAAATGACCTTCAATTCTGGTTCCTTTAGTGCCAAGGTTGAATTCTTTGGCGTCAGTACTTCAACTTCTTGTTCCCTTGACGTCAAGAATTTCGCAGTGGAGTCCTGTGATGAACCTTTCAAATACTTCTTGGACCCCAAAAGTTCCTCAGGAATCGAAGTTGGTTCCTCAGACGTCATCGTCAGCGAGGGTAGTCGGTCACTGGACTGATTCAGTGGGGAACTGAGGAAGATGCTGTCAAGATCAGTCTCCAGATAAGGCTTCACTACCGTCTCCAAGTCTATTTCAGCCTGAAGACTGCCCAAGACCTCGTAATCAGCGGTGATTACATTCTTCGTCTCTATCGAGGAGTCAGGTGTCCTCCCTGTGGTTGTGATCTGCGAAGCTTGGACATCTTGGTCTGGAGAATCGTGGAGAACCTCTGTTGAAGAGGCATCCAGCCAGAACTCTGTTGGAGAGACATCGTCGAGGGCCTCTGTTGATGAGATATCATACAGGAGCTCTGCTGATGAGATGTCAAGGAGGGCCTCTGATGACGAGAAAGAATGGTGCTCAATATCTACGGTAGTAACATTGAGGCCATCGGTGCCCAAGGCAGTACATGAGACAGACGAGTCGAGGGAAAGGTTGTGACCGTCCGCAGCGTCGACCGAGAATTGGGAGAGATCGTCTTCGCCCTCTGGTTCGGTATCGTCCATAGCTTCGATCATGTTACGATACGAAGAGCGCGAGGAACGACCACGCTGTTCCCAGTCTTCAGGGGCTGCCTCGCTACTGGTCTCCTGTGCCAGATCATTCCTTCCCTGACTTGAGTTCTCTTCAGCTGGCTGCCTCTGGGTAACAATCTCCTCGGAGAACTCCTCGTGGTAAACCACGTGACTTGTGGTAGAAGTAATCCCCGTTCTGTATACAGTTCTGGCACCTCTCTGTCCCTCAGCCACCATCACCGCCTCCTCCTGCCACTGTTCCGCTTCCTCCCCCTCACTTCTTCCTCTTCCTACGTCGTGTAGCTTCCTGGGTCGTGCAGAAGGGGCTGCCAATAGCTTCTTAATAGCACTGGTCTCTCTCTGCATAGCAAACAGATCTCGCTGTATGGACGCCAAGGTCTCCCTGGCGTTCTTGTCCAAGGCGCCATATTCCGGTTCTTTCCTGGCCTCTACAACAGTGATCTCTGCTTCATCGGGAGAGTCATAGTCTCCGCTGGAGTCAGAAGCGCTCACGTCTCCATCTCCATCCGAGGCTGTCTTAAAATTTTCATACTCAAGGGTAAACCCAAGCTGTTCCTCGGATCTTTCAAGGGCGACATCCACAGGCACCTGCCACCCTAGCCCTGGAGGACGAGCCAGGAAACTAGTCTCCCTCCACTGTTTAGCCATCGTTGAGGGGGACCTCGATGCACTCAAGCCTCCACTATAATCAGTACTGTCTCCTAATATTCAGTCTTGAATCAGCCATTACAGCTCGATTACTTTTTAAGACTTCACAGCTGAAATGATAAACAAAAACAATCTCTTTTTTTTCTGAGACTTTCGCAAATTTCAGCTGAGTTTCCATGTTAGTTTCATAGTTCAGTGTTCAGTCTGAAACTTCATAAAATATTCACATTAGTTTTACCACTATACTTGTGTCACAGTTGGAGGAAACACGTGCAGGGCTGCACACCTGTCATAACACTTGCGTAAGTGACCAATATCCATCATCTACATTACTTACCACTACTACCATCATAGCCATCACTAAGTAGTGTCAGCAGCACCACACCCTGTGTCACTGACTACACCACCACCACACCCTGTATCACTGACTACAACCATCACCACACCCTGTACCACTGACAACAACCACACCACCACACCCTGATCACGACTACACCACCACACCTTGTACCACTGACTACAACCACCACCACACCCTGTATCACTGACTACACCACCACCACACCCTGTATCACTGACTACAACCACCACCACACCCTGTATCACTGACTACACCACCACTCACACCCTGATCACTGACACAACCACCACCACACCCTGTATCACTGACTACAACCACCACCACACCCTGTATCACGACTACACCACCCCACACCCTGTATCCTGAATACAACACCACCACACACCTGTTCACTGACTACAACCACCACACCCTGTATCACTGACTACACCACCATACAAACCCTGTATCACTGAACTACAACCACTACCTACATGTACAACCTGTATCACTGACCTACAACCACCACCACAACCCTGTATCACTGACTACAACCACCCACACCCGTACACGACTAACCACCACCCTACCCTGTATCACACTGACTACAACCCACCACACACCCTGTACCTGACTACAACCACCACCACACCCTGATCACTGACTACAACACCACACCAACCTGTATCACTACTACAACCACCACCATACCCTGTACCACTGACTACAACCACCACCACACCCTGTACCACTGACTCAACCACCACCACACCCGTACCACTTACTACACCACCCATACCCTGTACCACTGACTACAACCACCACCACACCCTGTACCACGATACAACACCACACACCCTGTACCACTTACACACCACCACACACCCTGACCACTGCTACAACCACCACCACACCCTGTACACTGACTACAACACCCCACACCCTGTACCACTTCTACACAACCATCACCACCTGTCACGCTACACCAACCCACCCTGACACTGACTACAACACACCCACCCTGTACCACTGACACAGCCACTACCACCACACCTGTCTACTCCACACTACATTACCTCTGACTACAACACCGACCTGCACCACTGTTCACTGACCCTACACACTCCACCACATCCTTGTCACCACGACCACGCCAGCATACATCACGCCTACACACATCTCCACTGACTCACATAGTACAACCATCACAAACCATCCACTACCTCATACAACTGTTCACACCACCACCTACTCCTACCAATCACCATCTACCATCACCACTACTAACCACCACTACCACCACCACTACTAACCACGCTACACCACCCTACTAACCCACGCTACCATCACCACTACAACCACACGCTACCATCACCACCACCCTACTAACACCACCTACCATCACCACGCTACCCACCACCATCACTACCAACCCACCTAACACCACCACTACCAACCACCTACACACCACTACCCAACCACTGCACCACCACCACTACCCACTACATACCACCTAACCTACGCTACCACCACCAACTCCCACCACACTACCACACTACTACCCACTCACCTTCTCACAACTCAACACACCTACCCCACTGACCACCACCACCTACACTAGCTCAGCCCTTCCACTCAGTGTCTTCCACTCTGACCATCCACACTGAACCCGCACTGACACCACTTGTAACTGCCCTGACGACACTTGCCAGGGCCAGTGTGCTGGCACCACCACCAGGTACAGCAGCTACCAGCACTCAGTACAGTCGCTACCAGCACTCAGTACAGTCAGGTACAACATTCCAAAACATCCCTCTCATAACTTTTGTGTCGAGAACTTCCGTATCCTGCTTCCTTATTGTCTTACTACCACTACTCCACCACACCTACACCACTACAAACTACCAACTACTACCACACACCACCACCACTCACCACACTACCACCACACTACCACCACCACTACCACCACACTACCACCACTACACCACACACACTACACCACTACACCACCACTACTACACCACCACTACCACCACCACTACCACCACCACTACACCACTACTACACCACCACTCCACCACCACCACTACACCACCACACACTACAACACACCACACACCACACACAACACCACTACTACACACCACTACTACGCACCACTGCACAACAGTACCACAACTAACCTACCACCATACTACCATCATGACCACCACCTCACTAGCACCACCCAGAACACCACCATCCTATGTGAGCACCACCACTGAACACCACCACCCACTGAGCCACCACCAGAACTACCACCATCCTACGTGACACCAGCAGAACACCACCATCCAGTGAGCACCACACGAGAACACCACCATCTCACCTGAGCACCACACCAGAACACCACCATCCTCACGTGAGCACCACCACAGAACACCACCATCCTACGTGAGCACCACCACTAGAACACCACCATCCTCACGTGAACGACACCAGCACACCAGAACACCACCATCCTCACGTGAGCACCCACCAGAACACCACCATCCCATGAGCACACCACCAGAACACCACCATCCTCACGTGAGCACCACCACAGAACACCACCATCCTCAGTGAGCACCACCAGAACACCACCATCCTCACGTGAGCACCACCACCAGAACACCACCATCTCACGTGACACCACCACCAGAACACCACCATCCTCAGTGAGCACCACCACCAGAACACCACCATCCTCACGTGAGCACCACCAACCAGAACACCACCATCTCACGTGACACACCACCAGAACACCACCATCCTCACGTGAGCACCACCACTAGAACACCACCATCCTCACGTGAGCACCACCACCAGAACACCACCATCCTCACGTGAGCACCACCACCAGAACACCACCATCCTCACGTGAGTACCACCACCTGAACACCACCATCCCCACGTGAGCACCACCACAACACCACCATCCTCAAGTGAACACCACCAACAGAACACCACCATCCTCACGTGAACACCACCCCAGAACACCTCAATCTCCACGTGAACACCACCACCAGAACACCACCATCCTCACGTGAACACCACCAGAACACCATCACAACCTTCACACTGTCAACAGTATCTCACTGAACACTGCCTTTGCCAACACCAGCACAAAAAAAATTCCAGTTTCTCGCCACCATGACGCAAATCTGCCATGGGCACACTACCATCACCATCGCAAAAATAAAAGCACTAAACCCACATGGGTATCCACTTTGAGTATACCTGGGGTATCAACTCCCCCATTGTTAATTAACTTTCTGCACACGTTAAAAAAATTAATTTAAGAGGTAATTCAGTCATTTTTTACAGGTATTATGAAATCACTTTTGGTACAAGGGAGAGAGGTTCAAAGCGGTGTAAATACAAGATTTGTGCCAGCCAGCGAGGCCTGCCACTGCCCACCACTGCCCTGCCCTCCACACACTGGCTTCTGAATGTCAGTAGACGCAACAGCGGCAGCAGCAGCAGCAGCAGCAGAGAAATTAATATGGCTCAGCACGTCACCTCCTCCTGCTTGGCATGACCACTGCTTATCTCACTACGTGTTCGATTCGCTTAATATCACCACCTGCACCACCACTAGCACCACCTCCACACTTCTCACTCCGCCTCCTGCAGAGGAAAATGCTTCACTGGAGGTCACGGAGAGACGCAACGATCACACACAGAAAACTGCAGCAATCTCCCTCTCTTATCTTATCACACTCGAACGCAGCCACTATCAGTATTCTGTGGTGATAACATCTGCTTCACCAGGACCAGCTACGTATATGTGACAGCACTTATGTGTTACATCAGTAATATATGGTAATGTATCCACAATAATGTATCACCTATGATACATGCACAGCTGCTTATTCAGTCTAAGTCTCTCGACTGCACGAGAAACTTGAGAGTCACTGAGAATGCAGTCTGCCTGTGTACTAACATCTGGAAAACTCTGAACTCTAAAATGAGGATGAATGTAAACTCTCAGCGTATATATACCAGTGGATTAAACTGAGGTACATGTTTATCAGCGAATAACACTTTATATATATATATATATATATATATATATATAATATTATATATATATATATATATATATATATATATATATATATATATATATATATATATATATAATCAAAATATACACTGCTTTCTATACACACTGAGACATATACTCCTCTCATTGTAAAGTATCAAACCTCTAGAGTTTTCATACTCTAGCAGCCCAGCCTGGGCGAAAGTCTCCCTGTTGACTGCCTAGCCAACCAGACTGTTGCTGCTGGCGGCCTGTTGACCCAACATATCCATCATAACTTGACTCACGAAATCGTAATGACACGATTGCAAACAAACCATACCCCGCGGGTTCAATCCCGGCCGGGGTATGGTTTATATCCATCATAGCCTGGATGATCTGGTACTTGGAGGAGGTAGTGATCCAGCGTCCTCTTGACAGCTTCACTTATTCCGGTAATATTTTTTTTATTTCTGCTGGTTTCTATCAGCTGGCAGCAGGTTGATACAGTGTTCTCTTACTGTACCCACGACACCCCTGCTTTTCACTGGGTTTATTTCACATTCCCTCCAATATTTCCCACTCTAGTATGCTGTTATGGCTGTGTGTAGATTTGCGAACAGGATTTCTAGTATCCTCCAAGTGTATATTATTGTATATATTTCCTCTCCAGAGAGTATTTTTCCAGTTCTTTAGGTGTTCGTAGTAGTTAAGTATTTTATTCGTTCTACGCGGGTGGTAAATGCTCTCTGCATTTTTCCAGCTGGCGTTATTATGCCTTTTACATGTTCTTTTCGTTCTATGTGGTGAACCTCTCTGTGTTTTATATACTGTTCTTCCTTTGAATTCTTCATTTTAATCAAGCTAAAAATTTTACAATTTCTGGGTAAAAAATCCCCAATAACGATCTATGTATCGTCATTGTAAAACGTAAATAATCCTGATGCAGCATTTCAGCGTAGACAATACACTCGGAAAATATAATCAGGAGTGGCAGGTATGTGGTGATTGTTTGCAAAAATAATTTGTTGAGCCAACACGAGAATATTGTTACGTAAACACAGCGCCAGGCTGAGGTCGACACAAAAAAGTCTCTCCCCAAATAGTGATAGAAAATGGACCAGTTAAAGTGAGAGAAAATGTTAAGATTATTAAGGATAACTATACTAAAACAAAGAGACATGACTCTTTTTGTTGCCAGAATTGAAGGAGGATAATGAGGAAGAAGACAAAGACAAAGACGGACAACAACAAGAACCAGAACACCAATAACAACAACAAGAATTTTGTTGGAATTATTAACTCAGGATAACCCAACAAAGTTAGTGCGTCATCGAGGATTTTCTGGCTTATTTCCATTGTGGTCCTTTACTACTGTCCCCCAGGATGTCACCTACACCAGTTGATTAGCACTCAGGTACCTCCTAACAGCTAGGTTAACAGGGCAGAAGGTGTGAGATGACTAACACTCAGATAGCTACTCACAGCAAGGTGAACAGGGACAGCAGGTGGAAGATGACTAATACCCAGGTACCTACTTCCAGCAAGGTGAACAGGGACAGCAGGTGGATGACTAACACCCAGGTACCTACTTACAGCAAGGTTAACAGGGACAGCAGGTATAAGGAAACATGTAAGATGACTAACACCCAGGTACCTACTTATAGCAAGGTTAACAGGGACAGCGCTTCCACTCGTGCCGGGGATTGAACTCAGGTCCTTCACAGATGCCAGCCCATAATGCTACCACTTAAGCCACAATTCCCTATCTAGATTTAACCTAGAATAACCCAACAAATTCAAACATCTGCCTAGTCAGCAGGTTGAATTCTACAAAACCTATACCAGAGGGGTGTATATCAAGTGGTGAAAAGGTTACCTGCAGCGTTCATGAGCATCGTATAGTAGATAGGTTTTCAACTCTATTAGTTCACTAACCAAAGGTCAGTTCTTAATAAAAAGCTTTCAAATAGCCAGACCTATAGCGACAGTGAATTCCAGTGACTTGTCAGGTTTAACAGGTTACACTGTGATGTTAAAGGTCACAGGTAACAAGTCAGGTCTGACAGGTCACACTGTGATGTTAAAGATCACAGGTAACAAGTCAGGTTTGACAGGTCACACTGTGATGTTAAAGATCACAGGTAACAAGTCAGGTTTGACAGGTCACACTGTGATGTTAAAGATCACAGGTAACAAGTCAGGTCTGACAGGTCACACTTGTGATGTTAAAGATCGCAGGTAACAAGTCAGGTCTGACAGGTCACACTTGTGATGTTAAAGATCGCAGGTAACAAGTCAGGTTTGACAGGTCACACTTGTGATGTTAAAGATCGCAGGTAACAAGTCAGGTTTGACAGGTCACACTTGTGATGTTAAAGATCGCAGGTAACAAGTCAGGTCTGACAGGTCACACTTGTGATGTTAAAGATCGCAGGTAACAAGTCAGGTCTGACAGGTCACACTTGTGATGTTAAAGATCGCAGGTAACAAGTCAGGTTTGACAGGTCACACTGTGATGTTAAAGATCGCAGGTAACAAGTCAGGTCTGACAGGTCACACTTGTGATGTTAAAGATCGCAGGTAACAAGTCAGGTTTGACAGGTCACACTTGTGATGTTAAAGATCGCAGGTAACAAGTCAGGTCTGACAGGTCACACTTGTGATGTTAAAGATCGCAGGTAACAAGTCAGGTCTGACAGGTCACACTTGTGATGTTAAAGATCGCAGGTAACAAGTCAGGTCTGACAGGTCACACTTGTGATGTTAAAGATCGCAGGTAACAAGTCAGGTCTGACAGGTCACACTTGTGATGTTAAAGATCGCAGGTAACAAGTCAGGTCTGACAGGTCACACTTGTGATGTTAAAGATCGCAGGTAACAAGTCAGGTTTGACAGGTCACACTTGTGATGTTAAAGATCGCAGGTAACAAGTCAGGTTTGACAGGTCACACTTGTGATGTTAAAGATCGCAGGTAACAAGTCAGGTTTGACAGGTCACACTTGTGATGTTAAAGATCGCAGGTAACAAGTCAGGTCTGACAGGTCACACTTGTGATGTTAAAGATCCCAGGTAACAAGTCAGGTCTGACAGGTCACACTTGTGATGTTAAAGATCGCAGGTAACAAGTCAGGTTTGACAGGTCACACTTGTGATGTTAAAGATCGCAGGTAACAAGTCAGGTTTGACAGGTCACACTTGTGATGTTAAAGATCGCAGGTAACAAGTCAGGTTTGACAGGTCACACTTGTGATGTTAAAGATCGCAGGTAACAAGTCAGGTCTGACAGGTCACACTTGTGATGTTAAAGATCCCAGGTAACAAGTCAGGTTTGACTGGTCACATATCTAATAGTAAGTTCATTCAGATATACACAAATACAGTTACATAGAATTATCATACATATCAGCATATGTGTAGAGAACCTGGGATAACCCAAAAAAGTCACACATAGTGACTTATTTCCATTGGGGTCCTTTTAATATCTCATTATTATATTGTAAAGGAGATAATATCTTATTATTATACTATAAAGGAGATATACTAGGAATACGGTAAATTGACTTATTTATATTTATATGTGTGTTAGTTAAATTATATAAAAAATCATTCTCATCCCTTTCTGTCGCTACAGTCATTAGGTACCCTTAGGTTAGGTTAGGTAAGGTTCGTCAGGAAACAGGACAAATGTTTCCTGACGCGGGTCTTAGTCAGATGATGACCCGCATTTGGAGCTTTTGGTCATCTGACCGAGGCCTTCCACTGGCTTACCGGTCCACCCTTTTAAAAATTATGGTCATTTATAACCATTGTTATTAGGTACCTTTTGGCTCTCTTCTTGAACTGGCTCATGTTATGACTGGCTTGACATGTGCAGGCAGTCTGTTCCATTCCTTTATTGCTGTACAATAAAAGGTGTTTGAAGCCTGGCCACTGACTGTGGCTACTACAAAGTTGTGCTCTCTCCCCCTAGTACTATGATTGTTTTGGTTCCCAGACTTGACAAAATTGGCAGCAACATATTCTGGACACTGGAGAATTTTATAAACTTGATTTAACTTCAGTTGTTTTACTCTGTCTTCAACATTCAGTAACTCTGATTTCAGCATTCAAAGGTCAAAGGTTACAAATAAGGTCTGACAGGTCGCAGTTCTGATGGTAAAGGTTACAGGTAAGGTATGAGCCTTCAGGAACCTCAACAAGGTTATTTAACAACCTAATAAATGAGATAGGTGAGTCCTATCCTGGAGTACGCAGCACCATCACACAGCCTACACCTGAGGAAGCATGTCAGGAAACAGGATCAAGTGTAGAGATTCGCAACAAAACTAGTCCGGGCGCTAAGTTAACTGAGGAAAGAATAAGTGAATAGAATATTTACAGACATGACATGGTGGAC